TTTCTTAAAAGCAATAGCCTCTTCAGATGTAGACGTAAATAAATAAAATAGTTCAAGAGGCATATTATGTAACTATAATTTGACATTTCCATCACAACAACAAAAGCCATTGCTTTATGTACAGAATCTTTTTGCACCACAATGTGTACAATTTCTAGGACATGGCAAGACAAAAGGTTCAACAGGGATATTTTCCCTATCAATTTGTCTTGCACACTCAACAGTAACATCAACATCCGACTGACATTCAACATAATTATCCTCAGAATTTTTATTTAACTTTTCAGTAACACAATTGTCATCAATAGCTACATCAATAGTTTGATTCTTCTGTAAATCAATTTGAGATTCAAGCTGATGATTATCATAACCTAAAACAAAGAAAGAATAAGAAAACATTTTCAAATGAAATTTTGTAAGAAAAAGATTTATAAAGTTGAAGGGTATGATAAATAGGATTAAATCTAACGTTAAATACGAACATGTTAAACTGAAGCTTTTCACAAGTCGATGAGGTTGCACTTCATAGTTCTTATTGGACTGCTTTCGTTTTCTTTCTCTTTGTTTTCTTTCTCTTTCTAACTGAGTACGCCTAATTTTAAACCACTCACAAATGTTTTTTTTTTCAGAAATATGATTATGTGAGGATAGGTAGGAACCTATTTGAACAATTTTTGTATTGGTTGGACTTTCATTTCCGCCATCAAATATGGTTTGAAGAATATCAAGTTGTGTAGATGTAGGTATTCAACATTGTCTTCCCATAATTAAATTACCGAACAATCCATAACTGAATTTTGTTACAATTAAGAAACATGTAACATGCAAACTGTGAAAATAAAGAAGAATGTAATAAATTAAACAAAATCCATAAAAATTATTTGTGGAAGGAATTCCAGAATATCGGTGGGGGTCGGGTGGGGTGGAAGAGCGGTACCAAGAGACTCTTAAGTCGTGAAGTCGGGTAGTGGAGATGAAATTGTCTAATAGCCAAGACAAATCACTGGAGACCCAGATAATAATAAAAAATAAAAGAGAACGAAAAAAATTAAAATTTATAATGATAAAATTAATCTAAATTAACCACGGCACAAAACAGTGCAGACTTTGGACTCGGTTAAATGACATTGACAGAATTTATTTCATTCTCTTCCCCTGCTTTGTGCAAAGAAATTCCAGATTTGAATTAATACATCAGGAAACTTTACAAAATAGACTAAAAATTTAATTAACTCAGAATAATGATCTAAATAATATCCAAAACTAACTTATTTCCATACTTCACGATTTCTGCCAAGATTGTTGATGCATAAGAGACATAAATGAATTAACAAGCTAATAAGCATTTTAATTTACATTAAACCAGGAATATACCTCTCTATTCACACAAAAACCCAAAATTGTGAATCGAATAAACAAAATTATAATTATCAAATAAAATCGATGATATACTTCTCTATTCATTCGAAATCAAAAATTTTGCACGTAGAATATTGAATAAACAAAATCATAATTTGAGAAAAATGGCATGCCAAGATTTATCTCTCTATTCATAGGAATTTTGCACGAAAAGATTAATCACATAAAAAACGAGAGAAGAATTAAAGAAGAAGCGAGAGAAGAAAATGATAATGATGAAGAAGAAAACTTTTGTCTGCAGAAAATGGGTTTGCGTGGGGAAATTGAAAACTGAGAAGGAAATGGCCGGGTATGGCTGATATCTACAGTGAAATCACTGTTTAGCTACAGTAGAAGTCCCAAACACTGTTGCAACTACAGTGAATTTTATTCATCTTTCTATAAGTAGTTAGATCTATAAGTAGTTAGATAATGAGTGCATAAAACTCATGAAATATGCAGAAAGTATATTAATGTAGCATATGATTTATATTTAGGGTATTTTTAATTGGCATGAAAAATGTTTACTAGAAAAGAAAATATTTTCCTTGTTTTGAGGAAAACAAAAACATATCTCCCCTGAAAGAAAATATTTTCCTTAAAAACAAGGAAAACTAAACATATTTTCAAAGGTTAAAAAATATTTTCCATGAAAAAGGGGCAATCAAACACTCCAAAAATTGAAACTCGGATGGAAAAATGCCATTTTTGATGAAAATTTTTTCAATCAAACACATCCTTAATGCTATTTTCCATGGAAAACCGACCATATATTTAGTCTGACCATATACTTTTATATATTTATTAATAGCTAGCTATATGGTAGAAATATAATTAATATTACAATTAACACTTAATGTTCAAATTGTGTAATATAATTGACTTTTTGAGATAGATTTATGAAAAATTACATTTCAATTGGCCGAATGCAAGTTAATATATCATTTAGTGTGATTTAATATTAGTTGAACTTCAAGAGAAAATGATGAGCGGAAGGTTTTAAATAGTATGAGAGAAATATAAAAATAATTAAATAACAAATAAAAAAACACTCGTTATTATTTGAATGAATGATCCTACCACTATACATATAAGATTGTCCTAATGAAGTTTTTCTCCATTATCCCTCAGGGCAGTTGCCCAAAGGATTAGTGAAAAGCTTTCGTCTTTCAACTTTTATTTTCTTCAAATTTGGTCTTTAAAAGTTTTGAGAGCGATCACGTTGGTATCCAACCTTTTCGAATGTAGAATTTGGTTCTTCAAACTTGTGGATTCATCTAAATGGTATTTTTTCAAAGCTTCCGATATTCAAGCAACAGCTTTCCGATTTCTCTTCAATTCTACTATTATTGTTCAATTAAGCTTCAATCAATCTCCTCTCCTTCTTTTTCCCCCTTCTCAATTCACCTCCAAGTCAGAGTTTTTCCCAACAAAAGCAATATATACACAAATAAGAGTAAATATCTCTCATATAGCCCCTATTTGGTTCCAATTATTTGAAGAAAATAATACATTTTTTATCGCTTGCTGTCAGCACGTGGGACCCATTGTGAGATACGAAGTTAAAAATCACGGCTAATAGTGGAGCAACCGTCCGAAAATAAATTTAAATTGGACAAAAAAATTGGCAACAAACAGGGTCTTAATCAATAATACATAAAGTTTAAGAGTCAAGGTAAGTGTGGGAAACACTTTAATATTAGAGGAAAATTTGTAAGCCTCTCTTTGTGGGTTGTCCAAATAGTAGAAATTTATGGGTTTGGTGTTTATTATAATATTTTTCTTGTGATATTTGAGGAATTTGAACGAGTGAAGAAGTTCTATATTAATGTACAAATTTTTCAAATAATGAAAAGCTTTAATGGTCCTCAAATTTTTCTCCATCTTTTTAATATTTTTCCATCTCATTATTTTTTCTCTGTACAAGGACTGAAGTAGGATCCCATGCAGAATAAAAGGAAATCGGTCACAATTTTCAGCATGACAATTCCTATTTGCTTTGTACTCTAGAAGGTAGGGTTAGGCATAATTAGCAATCTAAAATGAGGGTCAGGCTTAGACTTATGTGCAAAAAAAAAAAAAAAATGCTGTTAAGCTGCTTATAAACATCAAATTAATTGTGCTAAGCTCTCTTGATATGCTGTTAATTAAGTTGGCTCAATCAAGTTGATGAAAAAAGACAACTCACAAATTCCATCACACACACACACACACACATCCTTGTCAATTACATGAAATTTAGTGTACCAAAACATGCCTGTTAATAGAAATTTTGAAAGTCAAATTTCTTTAATCAAGTGGCGTTACACCACCAATAATTATGCATCTAAACTCTACATAGCTCTAATACATTCTCGTGGTACATAAGTTGATAATTAGATACAATTAACTGACAATTCAAGATTGTGAGAAGACTAAAATCAGTTGTGTATGAATATACTAACCCTGCAAAATATTGCAACACAGAGAAATAAAAGTATATATTTTCTTGTCAGCAGTCATGCATAACAGTTTGGCAACGAAAAATTTCCAATCTGTTTCAATTTTCCTGTTGGTAACTAACCTATTCAAAGCACTGCTGATTTTAGGTCTAGTCCTTTACTCGATCGCCAATTCCCTTCCCAATTCTCCAGCCAATTCCCATTTATTTTCCTCTTTTAGGATTAGGGAACTTTCAGAATCAGTCTCTTCAGAAGAAAATTCCAAGGATTATCCAACTAATATCAGCCATCTTGTTTTTTGGATTTCATGGTTCTGAGGGAGCTTGGCATTACAGAAAAGCATACGTCGAATCGTGGTGGCGACCAAATATCACTAGGGGATATATATATTTAGATACAGCTCCAACCAGAGATCTCCTTCCGTGCCATACTCATTTTCAATCACAAATTCTCCCAATAAAATAATTTTACACGTAAATTCATAGCATTTTTCCATACATTCTTCAAAAATATCATTTTTTCATTAATTTAATTCTTAAAAAATCTACATAAACATATCCATAAGACATAAAATGATAATGTCCTCAGCAAATTGCACAACTTCTTGTAACTTTCTTATTTTTTAGTTGGTTGTATTTAGTCCCAATTTGAGCCTCATTTTGAATGTAAAAAAAAAAAAAAAAAATTCTCTAACTTTAACCATACAATTTCAATAAATAAATTAATTAATTAAATTGTTACAAAGTATTTTCTTTAAAAGTATGGCTCAAACATGGGCTTAGTCTTTCATATACAGTTCGATCATGGCCTCACAGAACGCCATACATCGAATCATAGTGGCAAAAAACGTTACAAGGGGATCCATATATTTAGATAATCTCCCATGGAAGATCTCCTCCTTAGTCAAAATTCGGAAATTTCTCCACCTATAAGGTCTCAGAGGACCTTAAGAATTTGTTCGAGAAATTGGGGATATTTACCTCATTGATAAAATGGTACATGGAATATTGGAGGTCTTCAAAAAGGAGCATGGAGATCTCAGAAGGTAGACAACGATCCTATATTTAATATCGATAACATTGTTGATGTTCTTGCAAAGTTAGATCATACCAAGTAGTTACCTCTCATGAATAAAATGATACATGGAATATTCGTCTATCATTGACAGAAATATTTCATTAAAGTCAATATTAAAGCAATAATAACAACTTATGAGTATTGTCTCAAGTTAAGACAATACATAGCTGTGTACTCGAAGAAACCAAGTTTATGCATTTACTAGGAAAATAAATCTCCAGGCTAAAAAGAAATGATAAATGAAAACCAAATTAATCGATTCACAATTATTAATATCAATACACAAACCCTGTGAATATCTGAAGACCATTTCGATAAACTCGATAAATCCCAAGTAAACAACTTCTAAATAGTCGACGAATGGGAAAACTCACATTCACTTCACGGGCCTCAGCATGAAGCTGAAGTACCCACTTGTGACTCTACATCGTGAGCCTTTTGAATCCCTATCCAACGAGCATAATCAACCCACCTGCAAAAGATTTAAAGAGTTCACGAAAACATGCATATAATGACAGGGTGTTTTAAGAATTTTTGTCAGGAAAAGGCGAAGAATCTTACAACAAGGAACCCAAGAACGTGTTGCCAGTTCGCACAGCAAAGCAAATTGCACTCAAAAATAACTTGTGACGATGCAGCAAAGGCTCTAACATCCTTTGTTCAATCACACCAGCCAAAACCTGGTATCTGTTGGATTTAGAGAGAAAAAATTGAGCAGAAAGATGGTATCAAATATCGCTTTGTTTTATCTAAATGCAAATATTAATCCAAGGAGATCACTTCAAACTCCCCAACAGTCAAGATTAAAAATAGAGAGAGAAATTGAGTGATATGTTATGGGACTGCTGTCCCCTTTTTGGTTAGAATTGCCTCTTGCGCTTCTGTCCCCTACTCCGCCCTCTTCCCCTGGAGCGAGACAGATGGGACTGCTTTTAAAAGCTGGCAGTTGATAGAACAATTAGAATGTGCCATCTAATATGTTCAGGAGTAGGAAAATTTTGCAGGCCCTTAACTAACGTGATCTCCCCCCTTTTCAGCTAACCACCATCAGTCCCATTTTTCACCTTGAATTGGTCAAAGCCAAAAATATGATGAATAGAAGGAAAGGAGAGCAGAAAGATACGCGAACGACTTGACTATAGTATAGGTAGGATGTTTTCGTGAGCAGAACTGCCCTTATTTTGGGAAGCTGGTGGCCGCGCATTAATTCTTTCCTACATGCCCTGAAGATGGGGAAATTTTTGCCATTCCTTACTAGATTGTGTCTCCTAGCTGCACAATTAGGTAACAAGAGTCGCTATGGTAACTCCTGAGCAGGCTCACGTGCTGCTCAGAAATGGTGCATAAGATTGGCATGACGTAGAATCAACAGAATGTAAAAGCCATCAATACAGATTTGTTATAGGAAAATAATGCCATAAAAAAGTATTCATAAACATACCGAAGGTTGCTGGATACTGCCATATATACGCCGTAGGCAACACTTGTTGACAGTACTGGGACATTCTCGACCTCATCTCCAGCAGAGTGATCAACAGCCTTTCGAGCATTTATCAATGCATTTGTCACAACCGTCCCAACCTAGACATGAATGAATGAATAATGTAATGTTCCTCAAGTCTGACTACATAATTTATTAGGTTTATAAATATTATATGGAGTAGAAATAAAATCTACAAAATATTGATTAAATGTATAAGAAGACTTGTTGACCACTCATCATATATAGGAGCTAGATACCGAGAGATTTTACTCGTTAATTTTTTTTTTTTTTTTTAAAGGGTGCTTGGGGAGAGAACATATGTTAGGTATAGGAATCGTTGGGAAGAATCAAACTAAATTTTTTCTTGTCACCTGATATTTTGATTTGTTAGTTGACTCTTAGCATAATGGGTTATCATGAGAATTCAAAAAATAAAAAATAAAAAAAAATATATTCTTCAACTTCATTGTCCTCATATATGCAAAAAAAACATATATTTAATCCTAATTTCACTTCCCTACCCAATGGATATAATCTAGGTACAATTTGATGTACTTGATCATTGTTAAGCTCATGTCTAATGGGACAAGAACCTACTTCGAACTTGGGGGATATTTACGAATCAATGAGCATAGTGAAATTCAGGCCCAGATATTATTAGAAGACCACTAAAAATATCATGAATTTGTCTTGAGAGATTATCTGTCTTAAACAATGTGATATGAAAAGGTAGCATATAAATAATCTATCCATGATTGGAAGCAAACGTACAACCCTTAAGCTGCAAAGATCCCTAAATATGAACTTACCAAGGATGAAGTAGTGCCAACAGCAAACAGCTTTGCTCCATTACGCTGCAAAAAAGTTGTGGCATTAGTAAATTTGTATTCAATCTTCATCCTGTAAGTATTTCAAACTCAAACTAAGAGAGACTTCCTCACCACTATGGCACCTATTCTCTGTAAAAATGAATATGAGGTTCCACGCAACGCAACCTATAAATCAAATTTACAACATCACATCTTTTGGTTCACATTAAATATATCACTAAGACATGATCATGTAAGATTAATCCAACAAATGAAAGGAGAAATAGTTACCTGGAATGCATTATCTGGACAGCTGTAAAAGAACTTGGCAAGGCGTCCAGCAGTGACAGCAATCGGCGGTCGGAGAGAAACAGTAGGAGCTGGAAGGTAGACCAGCATAAAATCTGCAATTATGGCCATCACCTGACAAGAAGACAAACTAAAAATATGAAGACATAAATCAAATACGTGCACATAATTTGGCTGCTTTGGACCCCAAAACAGAAATTTGGTTGCAAGTGGTATTTTTACTATGTTGGGCTAGATTTTTCGGGTACATTGTGTATACCTCTTGCATAAATTTTCTTTTCTTATTATTATTATTTTTTTAAATTTTGACTCAAGGAAAAACAAAAATATTTAAACTGATCCCTCGAAATATATAAACCATCAATGGACATGCAAATTGGAAACAGAAATTAATTGCCTCTTTCAATTTAGGATGTACAGCTTTAAGAACATGACAGGGTTAGACATTTTGCCCCAGTTTGACATCATTTATTTCAAAACTCTTTTTTCTACATACTCATTTTCAACCATACATTCGCCCAATAAAATATTTTGTACGTAAATCTAAAATTTTTCCCTACTTTTTAACCACATATTCTCCAAAAATTCACCATTCAAAACATTGAAAATCCCAAATAATGGCAGTCAAACAGGGGCTTATAATCCAACTAGCCTGGATATCTGGCTTGGTAAAAGGTTTAAGGCTTTTCAAACAAAGGAAGAGGAGACAACAGAAGTAAGTCAGCCGTTGGACCAACGAATACCATAAGCTACACCTAACAAGAGGTTAAACTTTCAACAAAAAACTTTATATAAGACGAGTCATCCTTCAAAAAGGAGCCACAGAAGGAAAACAAATGCAACATTGAGAGTTAAAGGCTGAGAAAGATAAAAAATTATAATTAAATGAGAAGCTGTCATACCACATCAGCAAAAACAATTTCCAGCTCATTGAAAAAGTTTTCCTTCCGTCGTGAATATTCTGCAGCAGTCTGAACAAAGCCATTAAATTAGTAATTGACTTAGTAAACCAAAATGAACGGCAGGGCTTTAAAATTTGAAAAAAGAAGCATGATCTAAACATACAAATGGAGAAGTTTTATACTTTTAATTTGTAAGTCTATCACAAGAGGCCAAATGTGAAATGAAAATTTTCTTCTCATAAAAAAATAGACTAATTTCTGTTTCCTTGAAAGGAAGAAATAAAGTCACGTCTTAAAAGAAACTTGAAACTTCATCTAGCCATGTGCAGTGCCAGTACAAAATTGAAGTGCCGGATCAATGACAGCAACTTTATACAAAGCCGAATAGGTTTCCCTAAGATGAGTATCAAACTGGTCTCATGCTTGTCCGGGCCCCTTGTCTTTAAAGCACGCTAAGCAGTCAAGTATATGGAGATTAAGGCATAAGTAAATAGACAAGGGAAAACATATGAAACGATTAAGAAACTGGAAAGTACTGGTCAAAAGAATGAATGTGCATTTAGAAAATCAATCTCAAATTAAGCATTTGCAATGTTTACATATTAAGCATTTGCAATATTCAAACAGTAAAGAAATATAAATTATCATCTGTGAGGAACGTCGATGGCAAAAAGAAATGTGATTTCAAGTTTCTGAAGACCAACATCAAAAGAAACTATTACTCGCTGAAATGCAAGCAAAAGACGAATATTATGCATTCTTGGCCAATGGATATGTGAAGTCAACCACACAAATACTTGAACCGTTGTTAGGCATAGGTTACGGATTTAAAATCCTGGAGCTTCTCCTCGTGTAGTTCTTTCGTTATGCCATGAAGAAAGAGACAGAAGATTGAAAAAAGGGAGTGAGCTATTGCATTGTGCTCTTTCTGTGTGGCACGCACGTGAATTCATTATTTTTCTCAAAAGAATCACTGGTATGTAAAGGTAAAGGCAGAAACTTTCATGATCGTCTTCTCCGAGTATAGTATCTCCTCCTAATAGACATAGCTAGTTTTTACAAACACCTCATTAATATTTTGTACTTCTAAAAAAGCAAGGATAATAATTCAGGTAGGATTTTTCTTGAGGGAAAAATATCAAGTTAACAATGCCGGATCAAGGTACCACTTTTTGAGACAGCCCACCTTTAACCACACTCATTAGCTATTGCACTTCCCTCTGAGAGCTTCATTTTTGCTCATCGTGAAAGGGGAATGTATCAGCAAAAAATTCAACCAAAACACAGAATGCACATAGTTAAAATAAGCAAGAAATAAACCTTTAATTGCTAAAGGTAAATTGTTTAGATATTTAAATTTAAAATTTACTGATACTACGAATACACTTTATCACTAAACTACTTAAGAACTAACCATTTGCAGTATATCAATTATCAATTCAGTAACACATCATTTTCTCTTGTTATTAATCTCAACGCATTTTTATCATAAATAAATAATAAATCACCCTTTCCAGCAACAATATAATAAAAAAATAACCCCTCAATTAATTAACAATCAAAATATGTAAGATCAGGCTTTAACCATCTCATGTGAAATTCAATTGGTGTCCAATGAGGGAAGGCTAAACCTTGCTTCGACCCCCATCATTTGAGAGACACTACTATCCATGGTTAAGAGCAAAATGTTGGTCTTGTGGCTCGAACCACGATCCTAGATCTAACACCACTTGTAAGATCGGATTTTAAGAATCTCATCTGAAAACCAATTGGTATTGGGAAATTCTAAGCACCTAAACCTTTCATGACATTGACAACATTAATTTGAATGACCCAATCCATGGACTTAAAAAGCAACATTGTTGCTCCCCACAAATACAGGACATGGTAAAAAGGAACAATCTTAACATACACAAAAGAATAATAATGAAGAATGTAAATTCGTTTCATTAGATTCGATTACCTTGGTGAAGACTCCAACGCCACATTCAATGAAGACTTTAGCCAAGAAGAGATCATCAGCCAATAATCTCTCCTTGAATCCACCAAACTTCATTAACCAAGAAAGCAAACCAGACTTTTCCAATTCAAAATATCTCAACAAAATCGATCCCGGTATTTTTCCATCCTCAATGGCTGCCTTCAAATCCTTTGGCAAACTCTCAAGACTCCTACTGGCCTCAGCTAATGCCATAAAGGCCTCTTCTTTGTTGTTCTTCTTGTTACTGTCATCGCTTCCATCATTATTATCTCCGCCTCCTCCTCCTCCTCCTCCGCCTCTGCCGTTGTCGCTTCCTCCACTGCCATCGCCACTCACAAGGTTGTAGTCAATATTACTATTCGTGGAGGCTGCATTGGAGGAGAAGGCTAAGAATATGGGGCGCTTTTGGGTGTGGGTTAAAGCAAGTGAAAGAAGGGTGGGTTTTGTTAGGGTGGGGGACAGCGATATAGACGGCGATGAGAAACAAGAGGAGTGGTGCAGAAAGAGATAGCGTGGCGTCGTTGGTGAGAGATTGAGGGTGGTGGAGATGGCCATTTTGGCAAGGGGTCTTGGCGGTGGTGGTGGCAGCCGGCAGGTGGCGGCGGTTAACGGCTATCTCTAACAAATTGTCTTTCTATTTATTGGTGGCGCTGCAGAGACTTTCGAGAGGCGTGCATTTTGTCTTAAAGGTTTATTTAGGTTGGTGTCTGCATAGTTTTTATCGAGTACACCCGGTCTACCTGGACCGGAAAATTCCAATACGTTGTTGTTTTAAGGTAAAGCATTTGCTTACCAATTTTGTAGCTTTTAATTTCATAAAAAAATATTCAGTCCTTGTTTAGTATTGATTTTAATTCAAATCCAAATCAACAATTAATTTTAAAAACATATTTCATGAATATCTCAACTTTTCAGTCACATATTTCATTATCTCTTATCCAAATCTACTAAAATTTTAATTTTAATCCTCACTAAATAATGACTCGATGGGGCTCAATGAGCACCCGCTTAGGTACTAATGAGTAAAAATGTAGCAACTAGCAATATATTTCACTTTCATCTGAACTGATGTTATATATCATATTCTTAAAATTGGATGTGTGCTCGACTTTTAGCTCTTGTTTGGGGTCTATTAAAATGTAATTTTGGGAATAAAAAGTATTTTAAAATTGTTATTTTTTGTAGACTATGTGGTTGAAAATAAATTTTAAAAAAAATGAGATTTTGAAATAACAGGGCCAAACATAGGTTTCATGAAATAATGAACTCATACGAAGAGGCACGTTTAAAATTGAAAATATAATCAGTGAAAATGTAAATTGAAAGAAAAATTGAATCAATTAAAAGCCGAATTATTTTGTTATTTTGGTCATAAATGCGACTTTGGAACCTCCGTCAATAAAGACGCGTCAACACCAACTTCGCGGTGGTAGGTGTGACAGTATCGCCACCTTAGTCGTTTTGTCTCCACTGGATCTTTCTATTTCTTTTTCTTTCACTAATTTGTGGTTGAGCCCTCGATGATTCAGTTATTGTGAATGTTACCCTAGAAAATACTTTTTTTGTTATACTAATCATGAAAAATTAGGGATTGTTTTGTTAAAATTTTATTCTTGTATTTTCCCCCAAATATTAATCCTTATCTCCTTACCATGAAGGTGGTTCGGAAATGAGTAAAATGAAAGGAAAAGGTAATATTTGTCACAAAATTCCAACTAGTCTATACATCATTGAATATGTCACTTCTCGAAATTTAAAATTGTTTTGAGAGTACTTGACAAGTGATTAGTATTTATAAGTTTCTCGAAATATGAGATTAAAAAGGTAGTTGAGTGATTATAAATGCGACCAAACATAAGCTAAATGACTTGCTGGTTAGACAAATAAGTAGATTGTTGATGAAATTTGAAAGTATCTGACACAAAAACTTTAGATGAATATGAATATATATGTCAAAAGAACGAGGGTGCAAATGCAAAACTCCAAAATTGTGAGTAGTTGGAAGGCTGGCCAGCATGGTTGGTTCATAGGATTCAACTTCCAAATACTTTGGGGTATTTGTCTGTTAGGTCAAAACCAATAGTTTTTTAATTAATATTTTATATGATTGTTGTACCCAATTTTGTCATTACTTTGGTAGTTTACAGTTTGGACTCCTCAGCCAACCGGCTAGTTATTTAGGGCTTGTTTTATTAACATTATTTTAAAAAAAAATACATTCTTCAATAATAATTTGATTTCTTTTTAGCCGCATATTTTTTAATAAAATAATGTTACTTGCAAATTTAAAACTTTTTTTTATTTTTTAACCACGTATTTTTCATTGATTTGACATGAATAATGCATTTTTCCTAAAATGTGACTCAAACATGGGCTTAATTAATGAAATAATTTTTGCTTTTTGTAAAAGAACTTTTGAAAGAAATTATCATAATTTTTGTTTGAAAATTAATATTTAAAAGTACTTCTCACTTCGAAAATGATTTTAGAGGAAGTCATATTGAATCAGCTTTCTCTAAAAGCCCTTTTAACTATTAGAAGCACTTTAATATAATTAATCAAACGAGTCCAAAATCAACTTTTGAATCTCAAAAGCTTCTTTTGACTTTTCAAAAGCTATGTCAAAGTGTCAAACATGCTCTCGACAGAATAAGTCTTGTTAATGTAGCAGCTCTCAATTCAGAATTTATCCGGCCTAAAACACAACTTTGTCACGTCCAATTGTGGCCCGTTTGACATAACTTCTTCTTCTGTTTGTTCTTCTCGTGAAAGAGTTTCTTGAAAAAGTATCTTAGGTTAACTTCCTCTAAAAAATTCTTTTAATGAATCAAACAAATTTCAAAAAAATATCTAAACATGTTGAAAAACTTTAGTGTCAGAATCAAATTTTAATTTTTCAAAATTCCTATCAGACGGGTCCTTACTAATTACTATCATTTCCTACTGTTGATAATTTAAAATTTTATGCGTGAAACCATTCCGAATCATATGAAAGGCGACAATTACAGTGTTGCCGAAAATAAGTTAAAAGCAATATTCAGGACCAAATTGGAACAAACCTGAAAGTGTTTAGCTTATTTAAGGTAAAATGATATTCTTATTAAATCAATTGCAAGAAGAAATATTAACAAAATAAGAAGAGAAAAGGAAAAGAAAGACATCATAATACCAATTTCATATACAGGATAAAGAAAAAAATGTGTATTGGTGTTACGACTATAAATTATCTCCCACGTGTCGTCCCTTGTGAGTGAGCGCTTCGATCGAAGATAAGTCCCGACCTTCAGATTCACAAGTTTCAGCCCGTGCGTCTTCCCCTGTGAATCAGCGCTTTGGTAGAGACAGTTGAACCTACAACCGCAGCATTAACCATACACTAAGCTGATCTTAAAAAGTCCACGGCTGATATAAATATTCCCCATGAACTTGGGGGGCTACTGTTACGTCTATAAATTATCATCTCATATTGGGCCATCTTATTGGATCCGGGCGAGGCCCATTATAGTCGGGCCCCAAAGTCGAGGCTCTAAAGAGGCCAACCGAAGCGCCACGGAGACCCTAAGAAGTTTAGCCAAGGTGCCTATTATTATTCTTATATAATCACCTCCTTATTGGGCTCGAACTTAGGCCCATTAACCCGTTTGGCCCACTTCATTTCCATTTACTCTATATATATGAATTCATTCACACTATTAAGGTATGGTCTAACTCTCTAGCCAAATTCCCCATCTCTCTACTATTGCACTCTATATATTTATCTTTATCTGCTCATTGACTTGATCGTCGGAATGCAAACGATCGTCGGACCTTTGTTTTTTTACTGTTACGCCTATAAATTATCATCCCATACTGGGCCATCATATTGGATCCGGGCAAAGCCCATTATAGTTGGGCTCTAAAGTTGAGGCTCTAAAGAGGCCAGCTTATAAAATTCCGATGGTTCAACAGTTCGCCAAATGTTAATTCCTAGCATGGCAAGATGCTTATTCCCTGCCTCACTATCGTCGAGCTTAGCTCTAAGTTGTCATCTATTCGAGGCCAACTTATAAGACTCTAATAGTTAGACAGTTCGCCATATGTCTATGCCTGGCATCATGGGATGCTTATTCTCCACCTCACTATCGTCGAGCTTAGCTCTAAGTCTTCATCTATCCGAGATCAGCTTATACGACTCCTATAGTTCGACAGTTCGCCAGATGTTTATCCCTGGCTTCGCGAGATATTTATTCCTCGCTCACTATCGTTGACCTTAGCTCTAAGTCCTTGTCTATCCGATGCCAGCTTATAAAACTCTGATAGTTTGACAGTTCGTCAGATGTTTATTCTTGGCTTTAGGATGTTTTTTCCTGCCTCACTATCCTCGAGCTTAGCTCTAAATCCTCTTCTATTCGAGGTCAGCTTATAAGATTCTGATAGTTCGACAGTTCGTCGGATGTCTATTCCTTGCTTCGCGAGATGCTTATTCCTCATCTCACTATCGCCGAGCTTAGCTCTAAGTCCTCTTCTATTCGAGGCCAGCTTATAAGACTCCAATTGTTCGACAGTTCGTCAGATGTTTATTCATGGCTTCGCGAAATGTCTTTTCCTCGCTTCTCACTATCGTCGAGCTTGGCTCTAAGTCCTCATCATTCCAAGGCAAGACACTCAGACTCCGATAGTTCAAGTTATTCGCGGGACGTCTATCCCTCGCCTCACCAGATGCTATCCACAGCTTTGCAAAGCTTCAACCCTCTCGATGCGGAGTCCCCTGTAGGTCACCGCCTCGATCGTAGCATTGCAAAAGCTTTACAAAATTTCAAGCCATCTCCCAAGCGTTGTCTCCTATGGGTTAGCATATTAGTCCCAGATGAGCTCTGCCATCAGCTTTACAAAGCTTCAACCCTCTTGACGCGGAGTCCCCTATGGGTTATCACCTCGATCACAGCGTTGCAAAAGTTGTACAAAGTTTCAGCCATCTCCCACATCGATCGCATTTTAGCTTTTCCATCAGCTTTACAAAGTTTCAACCCTCTTGACGCGAAGTCCCTTGTGGTTCATCGTCTGGGTCGCAGCGTTGCAAAAGCTTTACAAAGCTTCAGCCATCTCCCGTGCGTCGTCCATTGTGGGTCAGTGTCTCGATTGAAGATAAGTCCCGACCTTCAGATTCACAAGCTTCAGCCCGCTTGTCGTCCCCTGTGGGTCAGCTCTTTAATAGAGACAGTCGAACCTACAACCGCAGCAGCAACCATACACTTAGCTAATCTTAAAAAGTCCACGGCTAATATAAATATTCACCCATGAACTTGGGGGGCTACTGTTAAGCCTATAAATTATCATCCCATATTGGGCCATCTTATTGGATCCGTGCTAGGTCTATTATAGTTGGGCCCCAAAGTCGAGGCTCTAAAAAGGCCAATCAAAGCGTCACCGAGGCCCTAAGAAGTATAGCCGAGGCGCCTACCGAGGTGCCTATTATTATTCTTACATAATCACCTCTTTATTGGGCTCGAACTTAGGCCCACTAACCCGTTTGGCCCACTTCACTTCCATTTCCTCTATATATATGGATACATTCACACTATTAAGGTATGGTTTAACTCTCTAGCCAAATTCCTCATTTCTCTACTATTGCATTCTATATATTTATCGTTGTCCAGCCGTTGACTTGACCGTCGAAGTGCAAATGATCGTCGGACCTTTTTTTGTCCTGCT